AAACCTTTGGTGGATAATCGAATCAAGGCAATCAATTTCCCATTAAATTTTACAAAAAAATGAGGTCAAAAATAAAAAAAAAAAAAAAAAAAAAAAAAAAAAAAGTAATAATAATAATAATGAATAACTAGCTTAAAGTAGCGTTGTATGCAGGCTGGAACGTGGGAATAAGACCTTGTCTAACATAAGCAGTGGTTGTTATCTATGGGTTCAAGACTTATGTACGTGAGTAGTGTGAGGAGCTGAGAGGAGTGAGGAAGGTTATAGTGGAGCCATAATCTGCAGGGAAAAAGTTGGACAAGTTCAGTGTCAGCGATGTATCCTCCTCCCCCAGATTAGTGTCTGTCGCAGTCAGCATGCACCAGAGCAGCACATGGACAGTGACAATATCGGCCAGATAAATCATAGACCACTCAAGAAGTGATCAGGCAGTTTTCTATGCGTCTCCTGATCAGTTCCCTCAAAAAAACGTAAATATATGCCAATTCAACCCAGAACTACCAGAACCACCGGTGCTATGTTCCTCATTCTCTTCATCTCTCCAATTTGCACCCATTATCCACCCTAAGCTCAGACCTGCATACACCCATAAAAAAATAGGAAAAAAAAAATAATTCCTGCTCATCGCTGCGTTTGTGTTCCACTCATCTCATCTGAAAATTGGCAGCGTAAAAATCAAGCGGACTGAAAAATTAAGAGGTCAGATAAATATTGACAAGTACGATTTACATTAGCGTGGTCTATAGTTAATCCCTAGTATAAGACACCATGGCTGCAATCAAGAAGAAAGGTACATCTGGTAATGCCAAAAATTTCATTACCAGAACCCAGGCAGTGAAGAAATTACAAGTGTCATTGGCAGATTTCCGTAGACTTTGTATATTCAAGGGTATTTACCCAAGAGAACCAAGAAATAAAAAGAAGGCTAATAAGGGATCAACTGCTCCAGTTACCTTTTACTATGCTAAGGATATTCAATATCTTATGCACGAGCCTGTCTTGGCCAAGTTCAGAGAACACAAGACATTTGCTAAGAAGTTGCAAAGAGCTCTTGGTAGAGGTGAAGTTAACGATGCTCAAAAGTTAGAAGCAAACCGTCCAAAGTACACTTTGGAACATGTTATAAAGGAAAGATATCCATCGTTTTTGGATGCATTGAGAGACATTGATGATCCGTTGAATATGTTGTTCCTCTTCTCCAATTTACCAGCCACTGATAAGGTTTCCCACAAGGTCACCAAACTGGCTGAAAAGTTATGTAATCAATGGTTAGCATACGTAGCAAAGGAAAGACTTATCAAGAAAGTTTTCGTTTCCATCAAGGGTGTCTACTATCAAGCAAATGTAAAGGGTCAAGAAGTCAGATGGTTGGTACCATTCAAGTTCCCAACTAACATCCCAAGTGATGTTGATTTCAGAATTATGTTAACATTTTTAGAGTTTTACTCCACTTTACTCCATTTCGTCTTGTACAGATTGTACAATGACAGTAACTTGATTTACCCACCTACTATTGACATTGAGAAGTTGAAGGGTATCGGTGGATTATCTTCATATGTTTTGGAATCAAAGACCCAAGGTGTTGGCGCTTTACTTCCAAAGCAAGAACCTTCATCTGAAGCTGATGCTACCGCTCAAAATGGTAAGGCTGCTCATTTATCCCTGGAAGAAGTAGCCCGTGCCGAAAACGCTGACGATGAACAAGAAGACGCTGATGTGCAAGATGAAGATGAAGAAAATGTTGAAGAAGTTGCTTTGGATACGTTTGCCTCATCATCAACTAAAGTAACTGGTGATATTCTTTCTCAACCTTCTAAATTTGCATCTCCTACTTCAACTTTGTTCTCTAAGTTTATCTTTTACGTTGGTCGTGAAGTTCCATTGGACATATTAGAGTTCTGTATATTATCCTGTGGTGGATCAATTGTATCAGAAATTGCATTAGATGATTTACAAATCAATCAACCTGAAGCATTTAAGAAACTTGATTTATCAAATATTACCCACCAAATTGTTGATAGACCAACTTTAAAGTCTAAGGTTGCTGGTAGAACTTACATTCAACCACAATGGGTCTTTGACTGTCTCAATAAGAGCGAGTTATTGAATGTGAGCAAATATGCACCTGGTGAAACCTTACCTCCACATTTATCTCCATGGGGAGATGCTGGTGGATACGATCCAGAAGCTGCCAAGCCAGTGAGCGAAGAACAAGCTGCTGAAGAAGAAGCTGAAGAAGAAGAGATTGAAGAAGATCAAGAAGATCAAGAAGAGGATGATGAGGAAGAAGAAGAAGAAGAAGAAGACGAAGACCTCAAGGCACAGAAAGAACTTGAAATGGAAGCTGCTGGTGTTAAATTCTCTGAAGTTGCCGCAGCCGACGAAGGAAAGAAATCCAAGAAGGCAAAGGGTAAGAGATCTGCTGAAGATGAAGAAAAGGAACTTAAGATGATCATGATGACTAATAAACATAGAAAGCTTTACAAGAAGATGCAATATGGTATTAACAAGGAAGAAGTTAGACAAGAAGAATTAGGAAAGAAGAAAAGAAAACTTGAAAAGACCAAAGCTGAGCTTAACAAGTTAAAGAAATAGGTAAATAGCACATACAATAAATTAAACAATGGAATAATTTTTTTTCATATTCAATTTTCCTCTGCCCATCTGCTTCTCTGATCCCCTCTCCACACCCTTTCTCCGTCCCCTCCAACTCTTCCACCTATACGATGTTGCTTGTTCTGATCACCACCGAAGCACTGTGCCTTCTATTAAAGTTTGCACTTTTCTTGTCTCGAGGTTGCAGCAATTTTATCTGCAGGCCATGCATGGATTTTTCACCAAAACTATACGACCGTACTTGATCTCGTTTAGTTACAATATATAATTGCTACTTCCCAGGTCTACATTCTAGTTAAGAGCTGATTTTGTACATCAGAATATTGATTCAGTCATAATCATGCTTAATCCAAAAACTATACATAGAGAATTCTCTGGTGTACCTGGTGCATTGGGTATTACTCTTGGTTTACCTATGGTCATCGAGTTCTTCGCACTCGTGACTAACGAAAGCTACTCCATTCAAGGTATATCGCTTGATTTAGACGCTGTATTGAAGCAATTGCCATCTGGCAGTCAAGAAACCATAGCTTTGGCATTTGACAAGAACTGTTGGTTGGCGTACTTGGCTTGGTTTGGTACATTAGTTGCGCTTGACTTTGTCCTTCCAGGTAAACATATGCAGGGTGTTGAATTGAGAGATGGTACCAAGCTTAACTACAAAATCAATGGTTTGGCGATGTCCGGGTGTTTGTTGGTTTTACTTGCCTCGAGATTGGTGCAGTCGGAGGGTTATTTCTTACCGGAATTGGACTTCTTATATAAGAATATGTTGAAGTTGACCGTTGTCTCTGTCATCTTCTCATTCATCTTAGCTATCTTCGTTTACGCGGTGTCATTCATTCCCTTGTCCAAGCCTAACGGTAAGGGCACCAGCGAACGTATATTGTCAGTAAATGGAAACACAGGAAACTACTTCTACGATTGGTTCATTGGCCGTGAATTGAACCCAAGATTGGGCACCTGGGATATCAAGCTCTTCTGTGAGTTGCGCCCTGGAATGTTGCTTTGGCTCTTGATTAACTTATCCTGTGTTCATTATCAGTATCACTCTTCTGGAAGTGTTTCCGACTCTCTTATCCTTGTCAATGTACTCCAGGCATTTTACATATTCGATGGTGTCTTGAACGAAGAAGGGTGTTTGACTATGATGGACATAACCACTGATGGCTTCGGGTTTATGTTAAGTTTCGGTGACTTGGCATGGGTTCCATGGGCGTATACCTTACAAGCTAGATACTTAGCACTTGATGAAAACCGTTTGCAGTTGGGTAGATTTAACCTTTCTCTTATCGCTACCTTGCAGTTCCTAGGCTTCTACATCTTCCGTTCTGCGAACCTCCAGAAGTCGTTGTTTAGACAAGGAAAACTTGACCACATGAATTTTGAAAGTATCAAGACCCAAACTGGATCCAAGTTGCTCTGCGACGGATGGTGGGGATTGTCGCAACATATTAACTATCTTGGTGATTGGCTTATAGGATGGTCCTGGTGTTTACCTACTGGATTCCAGACTCCCTTGACGTACTTCTACGTACTTTACTTCGGAACATTACTCGTGCATAGACAATTAAGAGACGAGGCTAAGTGCAGAGACAAGTATGGTAAATACTGGGAAGAGTATGAAAAGAAGGTTCCTTACAAAATCATTCCATACGTCTACTAAGATGATAGGAATTTCTTTACCACTTAAATTATGTAAGGTATTTCATTACAGTGACCTATAGATATGCTGCGTTACCAGATCTCCCACAATGCTAATCCACGTGTAGTTGAAAATACATATATGTAATATAATAATTATAGTCGTATCTGAAGTGAATGTTTATAACTTAATTTTATTTTTCGTTTTATTAGTTCTTACGGTTTAGGTAATTCTATGTTTGGTGATTTTGATTGCAACTGTGCTGTTTTCTTTCTACTTACTCTGTCTTTTTCTCAAAATCAATTTGCTTGTCGAAAGACTTGTAACTGATTTCCAAACTAGTAAGCCACGTCAAGGCAGTGTACAAGATACCAACGAGAATTCCAGATACTAGGAGACATGAAAAGATACCTGGGGTGAAAAATTCGTAGTTTGTGAATAAGTTGTTAGGATAGGTGCTGGGGGTGGCAGTGGAAGACGCCTTTGGCTTGTCTTCAGTTTCCATGATGTTCACTGGCAAGTCGTTGCCTTCCTTCATGATGTAAGATTCAGCTGCTCTGAAATCTTCTTCAACTTCTTCAACAAGGTGGTTAAACTCATCATCTTCGTATTTTTCTAAGTCTTCATCTCTTTTGTTGAAGTCATCGAAATCCAACTCAACGTGGAAGTTTTCCTTGACTTGGTCTTCTACATAATGTTTGAGGCCTTCCAATGTGGATTCAGGTTTGCTGAAGGAGGGTAATACCTGTATGATAAAATTGGATCCGTCCTTTGGCTCGAAGTCAAGGTCAGTTGCATCAGCGTAGTTGATCACCAAAACAGACTCATCCCCAATAGAAGTAGATGCATCGTTATCAGCATCAACATATCTAATTTGGTTACCTTTGCATTGGGTTGATAACGGCAATTCCAAGGCTTCTGGAGAGTCGTAGTGGACATACTTAGCAAACAACCCGCTCTTGACCTTCAGGTTCAATTGCTTGTGTAATGACCTTACTGATAAATCGGATACACGGTGGATAACCAATTTTTCATCACTGGAACATGCTAAAGATGATAGGTCATTGGTGATTGAGTCCACATACTCAGATTCAACAAGAGTCAATTTTCTGAGTCCCGAACCATCTGATTTTGAAGAAAAGAATGCACCAGCATCCATGAAAGCCAAGGCAGCTGGGAGGATAGAGAGTAGAACTGCAAGTTTCATTCTGCTTAAATAATGTTAATATGAACCGAGATACTCAATGGGGCAACAAGAACAACGGTGCTTCCTTCCCTCTGCCTCTGGCCCTCGTTTTTTTGGCCGTTAACTTTTCCAAGCGTAGGGAGAAATTGGATTTCTGGGTGCGGCACGACCCTGTGTTGATAGTGACTAGGAGGTGGAAGGTGTAGAGGTAGGGTCAGTGGCTTATACGTGTGAGTTTTTTGTACTAATGGTATTTTATGAGCAGAGCGTATTTAGATGTGGTGCATTATGTATACTATCACTGTAGAATGCGGAAAAAGTAACATTTATGTCCAATTGGCACCTTCCTTAATCACTGTCTCCTATCAGAAATGGGCACCCACCGATAAAAGTAACTGAATGAGTATCCTGCATGTAGCGGAGATATGAGTTTTTCCTCCGTCATAGTGAAATAGAGCTGTACTGAGATAGAAATGCTAATAGAGCACACACCTATTCTATCAGAAAAGTGACTATTAATAAGAAATGGCTGTTGATATCCCTTCGTAAGTATCTTTGCGTTGGTGTAGGTGCTCAAGGAGGAAAACTAAGGCAAATTTGAGTTAAATTCATCAAGAATTCATATGCTGTTACAGTATTCAGTTATAGCAGAAATAAATTTCTGCTGTGTGATTTTTCATATGATTGTTCTTTCCACCGCTGGAGCATTGCATCACCTTCTATGTGTTCTCTTTCCTTTTGACTAACTTTCTAGGTCTGTGATTCAGAAGCTTGTCTTCTTCACTGCTGCAATGATTATCTTCCCAATCTCTACCTTCTTCTTTTGCCAATGGTTATTCAACTACAATGCTATCATTAGTGGAGGTGTTGCCGCGCTTCTGGCAAATGTAGTCTTGATCGGATACGTTGTTGTTGCATTTACCGAAGACACAACACAATACGAAGAGATTGACGAAAAGAAAAATGAATAGGAGACGTTAATGTATATATATAGGTTAATTAAAAGCGATAATTTGACTAGCCTTTCCCTGTAAGCACCCTTCCCCATCTTGTAGAAAGTCCAGTCGTACCAGCTAGTCGACAATAATCAGTATGCACGTGACCGTGCTCGAGGTCCCAAAAGGCTTTCCTGCCTACTATAAATGAAAAGACGGTTCACAGAAGAACTAAGGACCCGTAGATAGCAGAGCATTGCACTTGAAAATCATGGTTCAGCAACTTTCTCTTGTGGCTCTGTTCCCGCACAGTAAATATGTCCAAACAATGTCCACATTGAGAGCGTTGACTGGTATAGAGAAACCCCAAGACATATCTACATACACTCTACTCACCAAACCGTATTCTGAGTTCAAACCAAAAGTGGAACCTGGAAAAGTCAATCAGATTGAACAATATTTCATGAAATGTATCACCACATGGGACGACAGCACTAGTGATAACCTCGATATATCAGTTCCAATAATAAAATCAGGCAATGACGAGCTGAACCTTTGGGTTGATACATTATTTGGAGACTTGAATGGTAATACAAGAAGAAACTGGACATTACAAATCTCTGATATTCCAACAGCAGGAAAAAATCAAACGGTTAGTGCCCAAACTGTTTATGAAAGTACTTTAGTACATTATCACACAACCAACACTAAGAAAGGTTCTCTTGCAAATGGAGAGCCAAAGAAAGATGAACCAGTTGACACCGAAATGAAAGATGCAGATGCAGATGCAGACCTCAAGGAAGTGAGAGAAGTAAAGGTGGAGAATCAAGATGAATCTTCTATCAATACTAACGCCACTACAGATTCATTCCTACTGTTTTTACATGACCTAGGATACGAAGTCAAGAACCAATATTGGATAAAAGGTGTTAGATACTTCCACGGCGATATCTTCATTGAGACGTTCAAAGTCTTTGTCAGAGATGACGACTTCCAATCAAAAGATAATCAGATCAAATTAAAACTACTTGATTCTACAAATACGTTTCAAGTGAAAGTGTATATTAATGTGCCAAAGGCTACAGATGTGGAGTTAATTAACCAGGGGTCGAAAGATTTGCAGAAGTTTCAAGACTTCATTAAGAATTTAATCAGTTTAGAGATTCCTGACAGAATGTATATGGACTCCAGAGTGCTAAAAAGTTGATCTTCCTATGTATGATTATAACCAAATAAAGTATGGGCCAGCCGTTGAATTATGTACATGTAGATTAGTCCACCAGGGGCTCCGGCACAAAACTCTCGTGGGTTCGTGCCTAGAAAACTGGAAGTCTATGTGGTAGCACAGACCATCTTCTTGTCAAGTCCTTACACAGCACCTCTTTTGCTTCGTTCCTATTTAGTTTCTTCATTACTGAATGGCTTGACAGTGAAATACTCATCGTCAATCTTGCTACCCTCTATGTTCAGCTTTGAGTTATGCGTAGCGCCCCATTCCTGAGTTTCTCCCTTCGTTGAATCGGGCACTTGGTTTTTTATCTGGTCTTTTATATCATTCAATGTCAAAGGACTTCCAGGCTGATGGTCTGAGACAAGTAGTCTGAAGCTATGCAAGGGCTCGTCGGTCTGAGCAAGAGCATCGCTTTGATTATCGTAGAGGTGATTTATGAAACCCATCTGCGTTCTCAAACTGTTTATAAGGACTTGCTCCCTTTCTTTACTTACGGATTCTTGAAAACCAGAGAGTTTTAGCATTTTAGATAGAGTCTTTGGTTTGATAGCATCTGTTCCTGTCTGGTTGCTTGCCGTGAGAGATTCGATCGACCAATGAGTCGATTTTAAGAGGGCTTTAACTTCTTCTTTCGTAAGACGAGAGGTGGTAGAATATCTTCGTAAGTTACGAAGAAGCATGATAACAATAGAAAGCCCAGCTTAGTGTGGTATATACTGGTGCATTAGAGTATGTTTCATGCATAGATATGCGAATTGGATGTGGCGAGATTTACACTAATCTCAAATTTTTCAGTTTCGTCTCAGTTTCTGATTTTAGTTTTCGGCCCTTTTGGAAGCACAGGTGAAATTAGTAAAGTATACTTAAAACAATACTCCGAGTTGTAATTACATGTAGAGATGATTTATTGCTTTCTTAAATTTTATTTCTCCTCTTGGTATTCTTTGCTTTCAAGTGTTAATTTTTACACTTTATAATTTTTTTCTTATGCAAATGTTAAATTTTCAGTTTTATCAATAATTTACATTCTCCACAACCAAAACTATATTCCATGAAAAGCAAAACAAAAAATAAATGTACGCTAATTCTTAAATTTGTTAGAAAACACCATGCAGCTTCATCTTAAAGGTATTCATGTAGAGAGCCCTAATAATACAGAAGAGAGCATAGAAAACCGGCAGACTACAGTATTGTTTAGGGCACTTAATTCCTATCTATACATTACATGGAAAAAAAGCGAAAGGTGGTTGTGAAGTAATGCACCAGCAAGATAAGAGCAAGAGAAGGATTTTTTTTGGAAAAGGTGTTAGAAGAGGGGCAATATTTTATTTGATAAACCGTTAATAATTGAAGTATTTGTTATTATTATTGTTATTTTAACGGTAGCGTTCACAACCGGCCAGGAAGGTGTTTGGGTGACAGCGTTATTTATTATTATTTTTTAGTTTTTCTCAGTTCGGACCCTGATAATTCAAATTCTCTTGGGGCTCTTCTACACCTTCATTTACCTCTATGAGTGGATTCAATGAGATTAAAGGGGGAACTAAATTGAAACTCGGTGGCATACTTGCAGATTGCGCTATTGTGTTTTTTTTATCATTTAACATCAGTAAATGCAAACGCCTGTTTGCTACTTACTTGTTAGATAATCCATGGGTTGAGTGGGATTAGCTCGGCATAAATTCGCAGAGCCTATCCTCGAAATTATGCATATATTCAGCTAAAAAAAGCAAGTTTCTCCTGCACAATTGATGTTTTTGCGCAGCAGAAGTCAATTAATTAACCCTTTTGGGATTAATTACACGCGTACAAATTGATCTTTGCAATTTTACAGTTGAATCATAAATTTAAACTCGGAAGAAAGGACCATCTGTAAAGTTCACGGAGTTCACCTTAAACCGTATGTTACATGACATAAACTTGGAAAGATATTTTCTGAGAACGCAAGGTGTGAGGTGGTTGCATTGTTACGCCTTTCAATTCTGATCGTCCTTGCTCTTTGATTCCAGATGATAGAACGAATCATGAGGTAACGGGAACAAATTAGAAATTATTTGTGGGCGAAGTTCAGCATCTTAAACTTTAAAAAATTTTTTTAGTCGAAGGCCATAGTTCAAGAAAATTGACGTAGGAGTAGATAGTTGCTTGCAATATAAAATAATTAGTGTTTACTGTAGAAATTAGGGGGATAAAGTAAGGGGAAGGGGAGGAGGAGCAGGAAGAGCGGGAGAGAAGTGGTGGTTGTGGTGGTGGTAGTACTGGTGATAGAAAGAAGAGGCTCAACAATGCTTATCTTGATAAAAGCAAAAAAAAGACTTCTATAGAAAAACTTCTCTTTGTATATGCCCCTGGTATTCTTTGTTCGGATTTAACGTGAGTGTAATCATATCTCGACAATTGAATTGAATTCTAATTTCCAGCCTGGGTGTTGCAGAACAATAAGTGGAGTGCAACTGGCAATTTGAGCACTATTGTGCGGGCCATAAAGCTTTCATCGAATTAAGGCATTTTTTTAAACTTCCCATTGCTAGACGATAAACCAGTACAGTAAATGCAAGACAACGAAATGAAAAGGGTAAAACAGCCATTTGTTTATCAAATCCTTGATGTATAGACAACAAAACCTAAAAGCAAGCAAAAAATTACATAATGAATAAGAAAAGAATAATAAAAATAAAAATGAAAAAAAAAAAAAATAAAAAAAAAAATGGAAAATAATATTAGCTGAAAAAATAAAATTGCCGACTGTGGGTAATCCGTCTAAGGTGGAGAAGGTGACCTAATAGTTTCCAGAGATATCGTATCTACTTTGGCACAAACCCACCCAGGAGCCAGAATGAATACCTGGTCTACCCACTTCCATCGTCTTCTCTCATCTCAATACCCTGTTGCACCTTCTTGTCCCCTTGCTCTATAACTGATGTGTCATGTACGGTTCTTATCCTACCTCATAGTGTGCTAAATTTTCCAACGCTACGTCGATCAAATTTCAATTTTTCATTATCTCACCGTCTGGTTTCCATTCCTTTTTCTTTTCTTTTTTTTTTTTTTTTTTTTTTTTTTTGTCTTCCTTTTTTAGGCTCCATAGTAGTTTGATTTTTCACTTTCCATTTCATATAATGTTACCGATTCCTTGTTTGAAAAAATTGTGAACATATTTGGGGCTCCTTTTTTTTGGTACTGTTTCATATTCTTTCTATTATTATTTTAATATTGAGATTGTTCTTCTTCGTCCACTCTTCACCCCTTCCCCCTTCTCTCTCCACACTCTCTTTTCAGAGATAACGTTAGTACTGTGGTCTCACTTTTTGTTAAGTGAGCACTTTTACTATTTTTCTTGATCCTCCCGTGCTCCACGAAGTGAAATTAGGATCTTGATAGGTTTGATTACCAGCATCATCGCCACCACTACCACTACCACTACTACTACTATTACTACCTGTCGGTAACCCCACTCGTTCTTTAACCTTTATTTTTAGCATGTCACCAGAAACTCCCATCAAAAGGAAAAGAGGTAGACCACCTAAGGCCGGATCCTTAAGTAACCAAATTACCAGCACCATGAACATCAACGTCAATACCTCATCCACCTTGAGTAGTCCTACTGCCGAACTCAACTCCAGGATGATGGTGAAACGTGGGTTTGCTCCAGATATCTTGAATCCTTCCATGATAGTTAGCCCTAGCCCAAGGCCAAGGAAGAAGAGTAGAAAGGGGTCCACCTCCTCGTCTCAGCACAGTGATTATTCTCCCCACAGCACATCTTCCAGTATTCCACTCGGTTTTAATGTACAACAACAACAGAAGCAGTTCCAACAGCAACAACAACTTCAGAACCAGCAGTTACAGGCTAGCAGTAACTACAACAACTTTGTGATAACCAATACACCCCTTTCTCAGGCTATCAATGGTATGGCGTTCACTCCTTACAATCAGATCAACCTGAAGACAATGGATAATATTTCCATGATCACTCAAGATGCTAACTTTGGTCCCTCTAACGGTATGAATAATATCCACTTACCAGTGTACAATACGCCACCCTCTTCAGCTTCGAGTATTAAGAGTCAATTTCAGACCAACTACTGGAACTCTCCTTCGTTTCTTAACCAGACGCCAGCTAGGGCCGGTGTTCCCACTGCTAATAGTTTGCCAACTCCAACGCCAAGTTTGGTGAAGTCTAATTCAGTTCTGAATGCTTCTGTTAACAAGGATTCACCTTCCAATAAGAACTTATTACCAGCTGCTGCAATTGTTAGAAAGGAACAAGAAAAGAAGGACAGTCTGTTGGAGAACTCACTGCAACGACAGGAGCATATGCAACAACAACAGCAACAACAGCCTCAGCAAGAACAGCAGCAGGAAGACTACTTACTTCATTCCAACGATTTCATTCTCAAGCTTATGGTTGATGAACTGGGCAAGGCAATCTTGAGCGACGACTATTTTTCTAATCAGAAGGAGAATGAAAATATTTATGCAAAGAAGGATAATGATGATCAAATCATCTTCAAACCAAGACTTGGACATGCCAATTCGGTTATTGGAATTGAGCAGTATCCTGACCAGCTGCAGGAACTGGATCAACAACATAGATCTAAATCTGACGATAATCCTGCATTGCTGAAGTCAAAGTCGGTTTCTACCTTAAGCTGTGTTGCTGAGAGTTCTACTCCTTCTGAGCCTGCTTTGGTTCCCCCAACTACACCTAAGCTAAAGGATAACTACCTTCTTTCTGCTCTGACCGGATTCACTCCCAACATCAATTTGGCATACAACTTGACCCCTCATTTCAATTCGTTAATGTACTCCATGATGAACAATTCACCGCAAGCATTTGCTCAACATCAAAGAAACAAATCCATTAATGCTGCCCAATTATTTAAAAGCGATGGACAAGATTTCTTTACTGGCTCCGCTACAAGCAACGGCGCTAAGAAGGAAAATAGTCAAGAGAATCTCGATGCGAGCAGCGATAGCGATGAAGACACCTCGAAGACCGTCAATCTTTGTGATTTGATGAACCTTAATGGTGGAGGTGCTAATAAGGTGATAATACCTAACACTTCGTCTGCAATTCAATCGACCACATTAACTCAAGCATGTTCAACCTCAACCTCGTCTTCATCCTCGGTAAATTCTTCAGCAGTATCAAGCACATTTCCTCCATTATCGTTTAACACCAATTCAAGTGGATTCGTAAACGATGCTATGTTTGATGACCCAGGTGATGCAAGATTAGCCTTGAGAAAGATTATTCATGTGAAACGAGAAAGGAATTAAAATAAACCAGTAACGTAAAAATCCATATTAAAGAAACCGGAGAATTAAAAAAAAACGAAGTATTACAGTAGCAAATTAGCAAACTAACAAAGTAACAAGCTAGCAAACTGACAAAGTGCCAAAATAACATTATCCTAGTTCAATTCCGTACACAACTTTTTTCAATTCTTTTAACGTCATTTATTGAAATATTTAGATGAGTTGATGAAATCCTACTTCACTTTCATCTAGTGCTCATCCACTTCGAATATTTCAGCGAAACCAGAAAGACAATAAACATAGGAAGAGCCTATTAACCTTTATCTTTTTTATAGCACCAATCTAGATTATCACGAAAACACAAAAAAGAAAAGAAAATGTAGCTTAAAATGTAATATTAGAACTGCCAGTTCCATTTAAGAGCCAATTACAACAACCACACTCTGATAAGTGACCAGCTACTTCCGACTAGCCCCTCCAGGCTAGACCTGAACTGGCTAAGGCTACACTACACTTTTTTGCAGCCAACGGCACGTGACTTACATTGACACGCTCTTCCTGCAGATACCACCCTTCCATACATTATTTTTGTTTACCCTAACTCTCGACTTTAGCCTCGCACGACTTTGTGAAAAATTTTCACATTTCTGAAAAATTTTTCTCTTGTCCCTTCGCTAGCGCCAGGGAGAGAGTTTCCATATAAATAAAAGTCTTTCCTTAGCAGTTAATTTATAATAACCCCTTTTCTGTTCTTTAGTTGTTAATAACACATTACAGGATGTCTCACAGAAAGTTCGAAGCACCACGTCATGGTTCCTTAGGGTTCCTCCCAAGAAAGAGATCTGCCAACATTAGAGGTAGAGTTAAGTCATTCCCAAAGGATGTCAAGTCTAAGCCAGTTGCTTTGACTGCTTTCTTAGGTTACAAGGCTGGTATGACCACCATTGTTAGAGACTTAGACCGTCCAGGTTCCAAGATGCACAAGCGTGAAGTCGTTGAAGCCGCCACCGTTGTTGACACTCCACCATTAGTTGTTGTTGGTGTTGTTGGTTACGTTGAAACCCCAAGAGGTTTAAGATCCTTGACCACTGTTTGGGCTGAACACTTATCAGAAGAAGTCAGAAGAAGATTCTACAAGAACTGGTACAAGTCTAAGAAGAAGGCTTTCACCAAGTACTCTGCTAAGTACGCTCAAGATGGTGCTCAAATTGAAAGAGAATTAGCTAGAATCAAGAAGTACGCTTCCGTCGTCAGAGTCTTAGCTCACACTCAAATCAAGAAGACCCCATTATCCCAAAAGAAGGCCCACTTAGCTGAAATCCAAATCAACGGTGGTTCCGTCTCTGACAAGGTTGACTGGGCTAGAGAACACTTTGAAAAGACTGTCTCTGTTGACTCCGTTTTTGAACAAAACGAAATGATTGATGTCGTTGCTGTCACCAAGGGTCACGGTTTCGAAGGTGTAACCCACAGATGGGGTACCAAGAAGTTGCCAAGAAAGACCCACAGAGGTTTAAGAAAGGTTGCTTGTATTGGTGCTTGGCATCCAGCTAACGTTAACTGGACTGTTGCTCGTGCTGGTCAAAACGGTTTCCACCACAGAACTTCCATTAACCACAAGGTCTACAGAGTTGGTACCGCCGGTGATGAATCATCTGGTGCTACTGAATTCGACAGAACCAAGAAGACCATTAACCCAATGGGTGGTTTCGTTAGATACGGTAACGTTAACAACGATTTCGTCTTATTGAAGGGTTCTATCCCAGGTATCAAGAAGAGAGTTGTTACTTTAAGAAAGTCCTTATACGTTGACACTTCTAGAAGAGCTTTAGAAAAGGTTAACTTGAAATGGATTGACACTGCTTCTAAGTTCGGTAAGGGTAGATTCCAAACCCCAGCTGAAAAGCACTCTTTCTTGGGTACTTTAAAGAAGGACTTAGAAAACTAAGTTAGCTAACACTACTACTTAATTTTCTGAAACAATAAAAACTAAAAAAAAAAAAAACTTTTTTTTTCTTTTATCCTTCTCCTCCTTAATATTTAACCTCTATATAGCTTAATGAACAAAGGTGGACTATTTAAAAGATAAGCGAATCGTAAGATGTAAACTTCATTTAGTACTGTAGTGACGTTGATGGTTGTAGCTGTATATGATAGTAGTGCATATAAGAAGAGATCAACCTAACTAAAAATAATTGGCTACTGTGCAGTACAGATATGGAATGTTTCCACAAACGAGTTAAACAGCAGCTTCTGAGAATAGGCTGGCTGTTATCTTATCCTGGACACCATGGAGTCCGTAATATCAGTGATACAGCATTCTGCTTCGATTAACAATGCCTTCATTTCAACTGTGGATCATTTGCCATGCGATGTGATACGGTCTCTTTGGCTAATGCAGTCTTGTAACATAGCGTCAAACACATTCAAAACTGCTTTGGATCATTTGATGCAACAAATACAAAAAGACCCAGTGCAGTGTAGAAAGAATCCTGAAACTATAAGCAAATTGATCTATTTGAAAGAAAAGATACGAAATATGGATTCAGAAGCCTTGCAAGAGAGCCGTGCCCTCTACAACCAGTTGGTTACGCACCGGACTTCCTTGGTGGAAGAGTTGAACCAGTTGATGAGCTTGGGGAGTGTGTCTCGGAGTGAGAATGGTGACAGCAGTAATGAGTTAGAAAAGGTCGAAAAAATAGAAGAAGAGAAGTTCTCTCTGGAAATAACTGCTGAAAATCTTAAGCAGCAACTTTTGGATCACTACAATCATAATCCATTGAAGTCTCAAGTAGAAGCATTGAAGGAGCAAGAAGAACACAAGAAGGAACTTGCTGCAGCAGCTATAACAGCACAAGAGCATTTGCATTTGAAGTCAAAGAAGAAAAGTAAAGCGTTTCAGAATTCTTCTACTAGACCGAAAGTCAAGCTTATACTCAAGATACCGCAGAAGGGTAAAGATGCAAAAAGCAGATTGAAAAAGCAAGAGCTAACTCAAGAAATGAGTAAATCGAAACATCTGAAACACCCAGCACAAAAACCTAAGCCTCAGCCTGAACCTGAGCCCGAACCTGAGGTGTTAGTAGAACCAGAAGATACAAATTTGTACTGCTTCTGCAAGCAGCCCTCCCTGGGAGACATGATTGGTTGCGATAACGAATATTCGTGCCCCAATGGAGATTGGTTCCATTACAAGTGTGTCGGTTTGCTTAGCAAAGTGGAAGCATTAAAATACTCCTCAGGAAAGGAAAAGTGGTTTTGTTCAGATGGATGTAGACAAATATTCCAAGATAGGCAGAGCCGAAAGAAAAAGAAGAAAAGTAAAAGATGGTGAGAAAGTACGGAAGAGATAGAAAGTAGCAATAACGATATAATTAATGTAATACAGAAGCAAATATTTCACATTCATCATGTTTATTGTACATAGAGTTAGATCATTTTTTATTCTATACAGTAAGCAACTCTAACATCCCCTCGATTTCTTTGGCTTCTTTGCACTTCTTAACTTCAATGCTTATACGTTTTAGTAAATTTCCAAACACTTCTTCCAACACAACACTCTTTCCAATTAATAACCCGTACATTTCTAATATTACACCTATGAAATCACAGATCAAATTTATAGATCTGAAATCTTCAAAGTTTTTGATAAACCACTGTAAAATAGGGAGTAATGAGATTTCGTCTCTGCCATACAAAGAGATTCTGATCTTACCACGCTTCTTCAACTCATTGAGAACTGTTATTGTCTGCTCTTTAGGTAAACCTGTTGCGAAAGCACTATCCAAGGCATCAGACCACCTGAATGCATTTAAATGTTTTTCAAATTGTTTGAGCTTTTTGGACGACGACGCAGTGGTGGATGAATGGATGATTCTGTGTTCTTCATCGCCTAGGTAGTCAGCACCTCTCATCATTTTGTTAAAAGTAGCAGATTTATTTGCATTCTGCTTGATCCCCTGCGCTACTTTGGGTTCAGTCTTTCTTGTACGGATTGACAATAAACCAGAAGTTAAACCAGTAACAAAATGCTTATGATTAGGAGAGGGGGATACACCACACAGCAAGACTCCACCGCTTCCAAATTTCCACCCGAATTTAACTTCCCAATTCGAAGAACTGGAGTCGAATATCTTGACATGACCATCTAAGGAACCAACAAGTAATCCTCTATCACCAGTATTGTGCAAAGTAGTAACTGATTTGGTGAAATTGTTCAATTCATGAATAGATGAGCCACGAGTCAAGTCCCACACCTTAACTTGAGGGCCAGCAGCACTGACCAAGGTAGTTGCTGATAATGCTAAAACGTCTTCAATTGGTGCACCGCTATCATGTTGGAATTGGGTTACAAGTTGATCGTGACGTGTAGAGGCTCTAGTGTCAAACACTCTTACTATCCCGTCGTAACAACCAGTGGTTAACAAGTTTGGATTACCTGGAACAAAGCAAGCACTTCTGATATAATCACCGTGGTTGTCAAAGCTCGCAATGGGTCCGCTGGTGGTCTGGGAAATATCGTACAATCTTGCAACTCTATCGTCGGAACCAGTTAATAACTGATTACCCAATGTTGGGTGGAATTTTGCTACGTGTGTAGGATGCACTGAAGGATGTAAACTGACTAGGACATTTCTACTTTGAGTATCGTAGATGGATACTAACCCTGAAGCGTCAGCCGCAACAAGCAATTTACCATCGTATCTGAATTCTCCTGAATATACAGTGTCCTTAAATCTTGAGTAGGTCTTCACCACCTGTCTTGTTTTAGAAGAGAAAATTTGGATTCTGGTCGATGACGTTACTGCAAAATCATTTGGAGATGCAGGGTTGAAGTGTATGTGGTTTATTGGATGATTTTCTTTTACAAGTTGTGGATTGGTGAATCCTCTCCAGTACCTTTGTTCCGGCGTAGTTTGCGAGGGAAGTGTAGGATTCCTTACTTGAGGAACTCTAGTTTGGCTTGACGACATGACGGAGACTATTTACAAGCTAACAACGGCCCTTCCAGTTCCACTTACCTTTGTGAAGCAGCAAGAATTAAAAAAAAATGGCGTACGATGAGCATCAGAAATTTTCAGATTCGATCAATATGCAGGATCTGAAAATCCAAAGTGTTGCACATCTTGATGGGCAGGCAGAAGTGAAGACAAGGAAAAGTTACAGCTACGGTCAATTCACTGGAGGTGGAAACTTACTTGGTATATTTGTGGAGATCTAAAAGAAGTCGGTCTTACTAATGTGAAATTGTACCCAAAGCCGTGAACTGTGTAGCATATGATACCACTATGCCTACTCTTTCTATGGCCCAGCTATTTTTTTCTGTTGCATAATGGCTGCGAAAAAAGAGACGTGAGGACTATCAGCTAGTGATGTTCACCTTATATTTACTATGTATTGAAATGGATGCTCAGCTCGTACACTCTACATATTGAAATGGATGCTCAGCTTGGACATCTATATTTTATGACAAATAAATACTCACGCCGTAAATATCATAATAAGTTGCTACTCATGTATCAATACCATAAAATAATCCCTAACTTATATTCTATTTTAGTCTAATAAACACTCAAATCAACTACCCAAGATTTAATGACACCATCGAGCCCTGCGCTAACAATTGTGCCAGACTTCTTTTCTTCTTCATAAGATGACCATCTCAATCCGGAAACACCAGTTTGATGTGCCAATAAAAACTTCAAAACTTTAGCAGGTCTACCAACAGAGTATACTAAAATGCCTGTATCTAAACCGCCACTAACAATGTACTTAGAATCTGAAGACCAGGCAGCATCTAAGACTTTGGCACTATGAAAAGCCCATCTGGTTGTTACAACTGAACCATCTTCAATATTGTAAAGAGTGTACTTCCCGAAATTGTCTGCAACTGCAGCGTATTTTCCATTAGGTGACACACGGACCAAAGCTGGAAGTGAACGTAACGATGGATACGACTTGACAGGTGTAAATTTACTGTCAGAAAGAGAATAAACCTCCAAGCGATTATCCTTCAAATTCGTTAAGTAAAGAATATCCTTGGTGTCATAGTCAATATCCGAAGAAGTGAATGAGAACTCGAGTTCTGCAATTTTTTCAAGGCTCTCTGTGTAAGCTTCTAATTTCGACTCAAAAAGAATAATATACGTCGAATCAGACAATTGGATGACCTTTCTGGGTTGCCCAGATAATGTAGCTGAGCTCGAGTTCTCGGTCTTTTTCCATATTTTGACAAGATCGTCCCAACCGGCGGTGACGACAGTGTCATCACTCTCACTCAAAATACTTGATACATAGTTGCCATGCTTACCAAATGGTACTGGTTCCGGTTCAAACCCCTTTCCGTCGACAATTCCAATTTTCACCAAGCTACCGTCGGAGCTACCAACGACAAGTTCCTTGCCCTTCAAACTCACAGCCGTAATTGGATTTTGAACTCCACTAATAATGAAACTTGGCTTTGAGGTGGAATCATGTTCAAAGTAGTTCAAATTACCATTGGTGGAAAGGGAAATAAAGTATTTAGGAGTAACCACTAAACCAACTTGTTGATTCTCCACACTCACAGTCGAAGAAACAGAGTACGTGTTGACCTCTTTGGCTTCTTCTACGTTCCAAGTCTTAATAGTGTTATCCGCAGAACTAGTAGCAAAAACGTCGTCTTTGACCCAACTGATACCAAAAATACCACCTTCATGGGCATTTTCGATTTTCTTCACAAACTCACCTGTCTTTCCATCGTACACCACAATTAATCTATCAGAGCCAACACTGACCACATACTTACCATCAGGCGAAAACTTCACGTCTCTGATGGTGTTGGTATGATAGCCTCTCACACTCTTATCGAACTTGAAAGGAGGCCCCTGGTAAAAAACCAATGCCTTGTCAACGCCAACCGTAGCTGCCCTATAAGGTCTCTGTGGTTTAATAGCAACGGCGTTGATGGTGTCGGCGTGACCCTGTATTTCTCCAATGGAGTTACCGGAATCCCATGTGAAGCAGTGTCCAAACTTATCCTTACCTTCACCAACGGCAATTACTCTTTGACCATCAGCGTCCCAGGCGATCGACTTAATGGGCCCGGCTAAAATTTGAAATTCACTTTTGATACTGGGCTGTTCAAAGGAAGGTGTCTCATCGTTCCTTATGGATACATCCCAAATCTTGACGTTTCCTGATTCATCTCCGGATGCAACATAGTTCCCATTGGGAGCAAACGTAGCTGCAGTAACCAAATGAAGGTGTTTCGAGAATTGAATGGATGGCACTTCAGATTTAGGATCCACAGCCTTGACGAAAACTGATTTACCTTGAGGGTATACAATTCTATCGTTCTTTGAGTCGTACGACAAGATTAATGAATTGGCTCTAGTGGTAGAAGGCTGTGGAGGGAAAAGAGTAGAAGGAGAGATCGACATTATTGCAATTGGCGATGATTATCGTATACAGAAAGAGAAGAACTGTAATCAAATTAGCATTAATTTTCTTCCTAGGCAGACATGCGCCACATGGAAATTTTCGCTACTAGGAAGAGAGACTTAAACGTTTCATAGGGCAAAATAGGGGTACTATTGGGGTAATTTGAGTAGGAAATAAAAGAATTCAGTAGAGAAACTGAACAAAACAATCTAAAGCATACAGTTAGTGCCTGTATCGGTGGCAATTGGAGCTCTTGATGTGGCGTTTGTGCTGGCCCTGCCCAAGCCCAGGCCCAAGTTAAATGAACAGTAGTATGGATGTGTTTTGTCCTGCATACAATTACACTACGAAACATTTTAAACATGATTTATAATCTGGTGACAAAAGGAATCATCACACTTGCTGTTGAGCTCCCATCACTTAATCCTACAAACATATATATATCAGCAATATGGCCGAAACAGGATTACCACCAGGATGGGTGATAAAGGTTTCTAAGACACACAACAAAGAATACTTCTTGAATCAGGCTACCAATGAATCTTCTTGGGAAGCTCCATTTGCTACAGATGGCGATAAGTTGAAAGCTTACTTAGCCAAGTTTAGTGCCAATGGAAATAAACCTGTGATTCCGACCGATGGGAAGGTGCGTGCTTCTCACTTGTTAGTTAAAAGTAGAGAATCTAGAAGACCAAAGTCCTGGAAGTCTCCAGAAGGTATCTCTAGAACTAGAGATGAAGCCATTGGCATCATTAAGAAGCATCAAAGTCGCATTTTGAATGGAGAAATAAAGTTGAGCGAATTGGCAGAAACTGAAAGTGACTGTTCATCCCACAGCCAGGGTGGAGATTTAGGGTTCTTTGGAAAGGGACAAATGCAACCATCTTTTGAAGAGGCAACTTACCAGTTGAATGTCGGGGAAATCAGTGACATTATTGAATCTGACAGTGGCCTTCATTTAATACAAAGAACTGCTTAAGTACCAAGTGAAAGTAACGAAGAGTATACACCAGAGAAGAAAAAAAAAAAAAAAAAAAAAAAAAAAAAAAAATAAGGAAAAAGAAATAAAGAAGAAAATTAAAAAAAAAAAAAAAAAAAAGTGAAGTTAAAAACAAAAACCGACCCACAGACAAAAA